TTATAAAAATATGTTCTTAGGTCTTGGCTATCAAATGCTGAAAACCACAAGTCTTTATCTTGTTCCTATCAAAAGTTATTCAAAAAACAACCAGGTGCCTTATATTCTGGCGCCGATATTAGTTAGATGAAGCGATTTATATTGTTTATTTTATTAAATATTTCTTTGTTTTCGAAGTGACATGCAAATTTAATTCTTAATGAGACTGTTTATAATGTTTTTTTTTCAATATGAGTTTTGCATTTTGTTATTAATTTTTTTGAAGTGCTCGTTATATACAAACGATCCTTCCAATCAGTAAGTCCAACTGATGGTGCTTGATTTTCCAAATGTTTTAATAAACCTTCTTTATCATTAGTAAAAACAATTACTGGTATATGTCTTAAATTATTCTTATTCAATAATAATAATAAATCAAATGGATTTTTATTTTCATTTTTATAATAACCACGACAAACTATTTGAAATGTTGACGATGGTGATTTAATTATATTTGAAATTTGTCGTATATGATCTTGTGCCATTGCAAATGTCTCACGAAAATCTATATGAATTTTACCATCGCTTGTTAATTGATTTGCAGTATCAGAATTATCTCCACTTTTTTTATCAATCCAAAGTATATACGATTTGGACGAGTTATTTTCTCGTGGTACTCTTTCAATATAAGGATGAAGTTGTTTTGACGATGCTGTATATCCTGATTTTTTTTGAAAATGTATACTTTGACTTTTTGTAGTTATATTAATAATATGATCTGATCGTTCTGTTTGCCAAAACTTTTTATCATTGTAAAAATCGTCTTCATCATCATCATCGACTAACAAATCATCATTCGTAGTGTTTTCGATATTATTTAAACATTCTTTTTGATAACCATAAACATTTTTTTGACTATTCTCGGCAATTGAATTTTGCATCATTAGTTCTCTACGACGACGAGCACGTTCCGAGATAGTTTTTATTGTGTGTAAATCTGAACAAAATTTTGGACTGCTCATATAATCATAAGGAATGTAACCGTATCCTTTATCACCCTAAAAATAAATCAATTTATTATTCATATAGAAAAGAAAAAAAAATGTAGAACATATAAAGAAGTCTTCAAAAGATTATTATAAGTTATTAATATGGTTTCTAAGATAAGATGAGGAGTTACTAAAACAATAAATACTTTTGGAAACTTTGACTTTCTAATATCATGTAAAATGATTGGAAAGGAAAAAAAGACTTAATAATTCCAATAGAAAGAGACTTCTGCATTACAATATATTCGTAGAATATAAAAATTATATATAGCTTACTTCAACCACTCGAAAACTAGGCGAATTTAGCTGGTATAGCTGATACTGGCGGCTTCAGCGCGCTCTCATCTAGAAGAGAGACGCAATTTCGACTAAAATCTAACAATTTTTTAAAGAGTTAAAAAATATTCATGTGATATGATACAAAAAAACAATCGAGCGGTTTTAATGATATGAGTATAGTTGCAATGAACCTTTCGTTTTATGATAAATTCAAAAGTAAAGTGATGTCAAACAAAAAGGTAGTAGAAAAAACTAAATAAATAATCGAACAAAAACTCACCCATTTTTTACCCCATGAATTTTTAACAATGAACTGTTCTGATCGATCAACGTATCCAACTGCTAACATTGCATGTAGATCACCTCTATTGTTTTTAATTTCATTGGGTGTTGGCATCGGTACAATTCCACCATTTGTTTCAGCCTCGACAAATGATGGATATGTCGCAAGACCAAATGCAAATGGATAGCCTTGTGCTAAACATGCTTTCATTTCATATAAATCAACATTTAATCGCATGCCATCCGTTATACGATAATTCACAGCATCTGAATAACAGTAAGACGGTGGTCGATCATTGATTTTGGTAATATCGTATGGAAACTTATCTTCTTTGCAACAACCATACTCTTTCAATCCTGCGATAGCACCTGTAATGGAGCAACCGGAATCATCTACCGTAGCAATACCAGGTTCATCCTTCTTACGACCATTGTAATAAATAAATAGACGACTAACATCCATTTCAGTTCCAGTTTTTTTCTTTATTAAAAATTCATAGGCAGCTAAAATGAAACATGTGATATATAGCAATAAACATGCATAGCAAAAACTTACCAGCTAATGCGTTACCAACACTAGAATGAAAAAAAATATTTCTTTTTATTTAAATAAATTTTATATACGTATAAAAATAAAATACTACTATAGAACATAATTGTAAGATTTGAATAATGTTATTTAGAAAAATTTATATAAAACTAAAATTTTATGATTTACTAACCATGCAGATGTGTCCTCTTGAAGTTCTACTGGCGTCATTCCTGGACTTAAATCAACTGATGCAGGTAAAGCTTTGTTTGGATACTTTCGTGCAGATGAAAATTTTAGTGCTGTTGATGGCTGTAGACTAGGTTTGCAATCATTAAGACGATGACGACTGCCTGTTTCAGGATTGACTAAATAAACTTTTTCAGCCATGATAGTTTACGTATTATTAACAATCTGAAATGAAAAAATTTCATACAATTTATGAAAAAGTTTTGGAATTTTTCTTTTGATTTATAAGATAAGATCAATGTGTCAAATGTATCAAAGACATCAAAGCATTACATATAGTCTTGAGATTTCGAAAAACAGATAAAATATAAATATATACGTATATGTACAGAAGGTTGGCATATGAAAAATGACCTTACACTGGAAAGTATAACCTATTGAAAGTATATATATTTTTCTAATCTTCAGATGTTTTCAAGATTGAACGAAATATTTTTTACAATCGAATATAATTTTTTTCGTTCATCATTATAAAAAAGAAAAAGATTGAAAATTATTATATAAAATTTGAATAACTAGGAAATAATCGATCACAATGTTTTCTATTTCATGGAAATTAATAACTCCTAATCATTGTAGAAATTACTTTTTTTTTTTCTTCTCACTAATAATTAAAAAACTCGCGTTTATATAACCTAAAATTTTTCTCTATTAAACAATATTCTTACTGCATTGCAAAAAACAAACGAATCATCAAACATCGAATAATTCGATTCATAGCAACAAAAATTGTATTAATAAAAGTATTACGTATACACTTGTTTATTCAATATTATATGCGCAATGCTCATATCAATAAATACTTGCAACTGTAGTTACCTGCTGTTTTGCAATAATTAATATAGTGGTACTTACCGTCACAAATATGCACAACTAATGTGAATAAAATCAACCAACGTTTTATTAATATATATAGGGAATGTATCACGAATGGGAGTTTTCATATTTCCCATGATGATATATATCGGTAGGAAAAAAAGATACGAAAAACAAACAGATGAGAAAAAAACAGGTACGTCATATAAACAAGAACATGTGACAAAATTAGTTGTCTTACGAAAGAACAAGCAAAACAAAATAGAATGATTGAAAAAAGTTAATGAAGCGAAGCATTTTCATCAATACAAATCATTTGAAATATTAGTAAATTATACAAGTTGAATCTATATTTTAAAGATGAACAATATTTAGAGAAAATTAGATGATAAGAAAAAATAGAAATTTTATCTCACAATGAACAAGAAGTTATTAATAACAAAATTTGACAATCATTGAATATTTCATGGGTATTCTATTCTATTCTTTTTTCATGTTTTTTTCTCTCCAATCGAATAAAATAAATATTATAGATTTTTATCGACTAATTGAATGTATGTTTTCAAGGTTTTTTTTAATCATAATTTGCCTAGAGATTTTATCGTATTTTCAAAATCAACTGTCTTATATCAAAGAAGTATATTCAGATTTATGAAAAAAAAAAAGAAATTACCAAAATTTTCATGAGCTTGATAATCACATTTTAATGTAAATTAAAAAAATATTTAGAAATCTCTGTAATTTCAGAAATTACATTAGCAAACAATTTGAAATACAATTGCTTGAAATTTCCCTATTTAGAAATCTGAATATTGCTAATTAATCGAGAGGAAAATAGTTTTCGAATAAATTTTACTAATAAAAATTTTTGCAGCGCCATCCGTAAGAAATTTTTTTTCATACCTAAGGTCGATTTTGGCTTTGTAACTAGTACAGACGGCTCAGACGCATTAATTCGTATAACTCTTAATAGGAATTCCTCTAATAAATTGATAGTAGACAACAAATCATTCACTATCATATCAATCACAACTGTTCTCAACTTTTCAATCACGAAACAAAGCTTAACCAATGATCACTATAGAGAGAAGTTCAGAGGCTAGAAATCTAACAAGATTGTATCATTTATGCTACTTTTTTTTTGCCCTTATTGATTTGTGTTTTTTTTGTGAAACACGATGTAAAAGAAGTTTTGAAGTATAATGGTAGAATTTTTAGGACTCGCTCCACCCTTGTACAGATCGTGGCAAACACCTTGGCAACGCCACTCCTCTGTCACAGACGGAGACAGCTACTTTAGAATTATTACTTCCATCTTATAGAGCTTAATTGAATATATGATAAATGTCCTTGGTCCTTATTTTGCACTGACTGCTATATATAACGATGATTATTTTTTATCAATAACATGGATTAACAGTAGATAAGAATTCAAGAACTGAAACCTATGTTAATGAACTTTTACAATGTCCACAACTCTACCATATTTCATATTTGAAATCCTTCAGGATATTGCACTAACAACATTTTTGTATATTTTCGAATTGAATTTAACTAATCATAAATTTAGTTTGAAGACAATGTAATATTGTTCATTTTTGTTTTTTTCGATTATCAGCTTCGTACTTTTTAACATTTATCAATAAAAATTTTCACTGTCGATCATTTTTTTCTAGTTCAAGTTACACTTCATTCTCGATAACAAATCACATATGTTTTAATATAATAAATAGAAAACATGATAATCTCAGAATTACAAATTGAAATTATATGAATGGCTTATGTCATTTAATACAAATGTGTTTATTTTACTTATTTTATACTATTCGAACGTATGTCGATGATTGGAAATGATCCGATAAGGATTGTTGTATAACAATGAGTAAAAAAAATTGAGTAAATTTTTTACATCATAAATATATCTTCATCAAATCAAAGAATCTTTGTTTACATAGTCAATTCTAACACATACAAAGCACACCACAGAATTCAATCAGAGTTCATAAGAATTTAAAGTTATCTCATCTTTTAAGTACGCCTATTTTAATATTTTTAACTTCTTTTACCAAATATATTTCTCTTCATCAATGATTTTCAAAGTAATCTTACGAGAGAGAAGCAATGAAATTTTATTACAACATAAATTGTTACATAATAAGAAAAGAAAATGATTTGAATTGTCACTAGCTTAGTTAATTAATGTTTTTGTATTGATGCATTACGTCTTGTAGAATTAGATGCTAGAGCCCGTGTATTATTCGATGTAGTAGTTATTGGTAGAATACTATTTCGAGTTCTTGTTAAATGAATACGAGTTTCACGATAAATTCGACTCATTTGATATATTAATCGAATATATTCATTTCGATATATATTAGCTGAAAAAAAATATAAGATAAAAATTGTAACACAAGATAAATAATAGAAAAGTTGACATATTAAATACATAAATTGAAATTGTGTTGTAATTTTAAATGAATTTGGTAAAACTAATATTAAATATGAAATTGATAACGGAAGTGTAAGTAAAATATAAGCGTCAACTTGAAGAAGAAGCATTCGACCAAGTTGATTTTCAGTTCGACAATAACGTTTAGCTACTCTTGGAAGTAAATATATATGTTTCATATTATAAATAGTCATTCCACCGAAAAATCCCATAAGACATGGTGGAATAATAGCAAAAACAATGAATTGTGTGATTGAATATATTTTTTTGTAGATTATATCACCTCGTATAGCACATCCAAGAGAATCATCTTGTCGAAGATCGATGAATACCAGATAATCTATGTAACAAAGTGCTATTAATACAATAATCGATGTTAATGTTCATCGAGTTACACGTACATCACTTTATTTTCGTCGTTGAACATTTCTTGAACTTGCACAATATCTATCAATTGATACATGCACAATAAAATAAGGTGATATAACTACGCATATACCAGTAACATATTGAATAAGTTTACATGATAGAAGTGATATTTTGGTCACATCCAATTGATAAACAGTAATAAGTAGACGATTAATAAGAAATGCACTTGATAAGAAAAGATTGTTACCAGCAAGAGCTAGAAAATAACGAGAACAAGCATGATTGTGCAATGTTGATCGCGAAAGTACGACAATATTGATTGAATTACCTATGATCCCGATGACAATGATAGTGGAAACAATAGTACATATCAATTGAATAGCAAGTTGTACGAGTGAATCAGCCATAATTTTTGAAGATTTTTTCTTTAACACTGATTCTCAAATGATTCAATAGCTACTTATATACATTCATGTTCATTAGTGATATATGATATCGTCAAGATATACAATACTAATACTGATTTCAAAGATGATCACATCATTTTGACGTATATGAATCGTATATATATATATTCTTTTCGAAGATTACAGATTAGTTTTTAATTTTTCATAACTATGTCATATTCTTTTATCTCATAAAAAAAAAGTAATTTACGTCGAGAGATGTTGAATTTCAATCTCGAGTTATTGGATAGATATATCAGGAGTGGTACTAGTTTTATAACATTTATTTTTGTTTTTGCATATGTTTTTACATTCGAAAATATAAAAATATATCATCGAAAGTGAACATTCTTATTCTCATACTACTTGTCAGTATAAAAAAAATCTGACAAAACTTAGAAATTATAAATTGTATGTATTGATAATTAAGTTTATCACTCTGAATAGTATTAAAAAAATGAGAGCACAGAACTTGGTCGAATAAAAAAAATAAAAATCTTAACAAAATATTAATATTTGATCTATGAACAGTTATTATTTCTTTATCACATTCTCATTTTTAATTCAATTCAATATGTCTTAATATTATTGTGTTCAACATTGTTTTTGATTTATGCTTTTGCTTGATTTTTCTGAGCCAATTATCTGGTCAAAAAGATTATTGATTTTTTTTAATCACATTATTAGAAATTCTTGAAGATGCATTTGTGTATATCGACAAAACAATTTTTACGATTGTAACCTGAGAAAATTACAGGAAAACTGTAATCTGTCAACCAAAAATCTTTCGGATAGCATTTCATTCCAAATTCCACCTGGAAAAGGCTTCAAATCAGTCTCAAATAATATATAACTAAATAAAAATTTTGAGCATTATTCTATGCTGAATTAATCAAACTTATACGCAGCATAAAAATTAGAGTGTGCGCCTTTTTTTCGCCAACATCTCCATTTCTGCACGTGTACCATTTGCACATAACGATATGGTACTTTCCTTTATATGTAACTTGATATTTTCATAGAGCCTATTGAAAGAGTAATTTAATTTTTTTTTTCAAACATTATATTTCAAAGAATTCATTGAGCTTTATTCAATCCTATATAAATATCATAATTCTTTTTTGCTAGAGTTTTAAACAATATACAATATAAATTTTATCAGTCGAACTTAACTTTTTATTGCTAGACTATTTGCTTTTCTGTCAGTTATTCCTATGACGAACAACAAACCACATGTCTGAACATTTTATACATCAGTCACAACATGTATTTTTTCAGTTGGTAACATTAGATTATGACATGAGGCGTTCTGATAATGAAATTCACTCGATTTTATTAAAAAAAAGAAACAAGTATTTATTGCTAATCATAAATTATGAAACAACATTTAAATTGCTGTAAATGCAGTAGTACATGTTGAAGGCAAAATTAATATTCGACTAGAGATAAATTCATATAATTAAAATCTGAATTTATCTCTAGTCGAATTTGAATTTTGTTTATAACTTATATTCATCAGAGTTGATTATGTCTCATTTTGAGTAGGAGTTGAAACAATAAATGAAAGTGTGTGTGGGTGACGAATAGATTTGTTTTTTTTTATTTTATTTTAACTCATTGACATTTTTTTTTAATAATTTTCATGACGTCGATCGTTGGCACATGTCAATCTGAAGAATAGTGATAAATTTCAGTTGTTGGAAAAAAAAAGTAATAAAACACCATGTGTAGACTGACTCAATGATAAAACCAAATATACTAAATAATTTTAATTTCACGTCTATATCATGACAAAGATAAAAAAACAAATTAATCATTGATAACTAGTTTGGAAATTCTCAAATTTGATAAAATGACGCAAATAAGTTATAATTGACGTCATTTTTTTTTCGTCGTTCAGATATTGAACAATCGTTCCTATGTATAAATATCTATTGATTTCCTCATTTTCTATCATATTCCATCTGATATTCCCTCAGAGGCTGGTACTCACTCTAATCTTGATCACCAAGCAACAACAACAACAACAACAACAAAACAAAAAAGATTTTCTCCTATATGTTCATCCTTATCAAAATGATTGTGTCGATGCTGGTTTTCATGTTAATCATATCCCAATTTACAATGGCTCACAATAAACGAACACATTATGGTTTTTGTAAAGTAACTGGTACAACACTTTGTGTCGAAAATCATCTAATAGAAATTGCAAAAAGTGCTAATACTATCGTTCCTACACTTGTCGAAGTTGAAAAAGATATTGTAAGTAACATTTCTTTAATTCAATATAACTCACTTCTTTTATATTTTTCTTGTATAAAAATTATAGATACATGCTGAGAAACACAATGGTAAATTCAATGAATACATTGAATATGCAATGAAACAAATTGCTACTCGTCTACCTACGCATCATTATTCAAACCGATTCTTTAATCAGAATAATATTGATCAAGTAAGTTACACATTACATCTATAAATATACTCATTTGTTTTTCTAGACTGAGTTAATCCATTTATTTAAAGAAAATCATAATGCCATGATGTTCTATTATAATTCAATCAATGATATTCTCGAGTCCAATTCATTATTTCGACATGAGATTACTCGTTTATTGAGAATGATTCGTCCAATTTTGAAAGATGATGTCATCTGCAATTATCAACTTGTTTTACGTATTTATTCAAACAATCAAGTATTGTTCTCTCTAAACAGTCAAGATCCATTTAAAGAAATCTCATTGTCAACAGCACAATCGACCATTGATAATGTTTATTCATTGATCATTTTGCGGGAATTGAAACATTGGATGAATCGAACCGAAAACCTACTCAAAACTCTAAAATGGAAACTCTTTTAATTTCTAGAAGTAAAAAAAAAACACCAAGAAGTCAAAGAATTATATTGACTCTAATAATAATAATAATAAAGAGTTGATTAAAACTTTCGAATTTGTATTTCAACTGTTGACATAGGCATTATTTTATCTATAATGAATCCAGATATTTTGTATGATACTCGGTTGTCTGTGAAGTGATTTTCTTTTATATCTATAATGTCATTCAGGAAACGAAATAAACGAAAGGATGCATATGTGAATAAAAATATATGTTATCAAAATTTGACTGTCTAAACTATAAACTATTTATGCTTTGATCAAATTTTCTGAAATGAGATTCGATTATACTTATCATTGGCTAAAAAAGAGGGGTCCACGAGAATTTAAAGTTATCCTGTTTTGCTTTTCTATACATCATTACCTCCCTTTAGGCCCTTTAGTCCTTTTAGTCCCTTTAGTGTCTAAAGGGACTAAAAGGAATAAAGGGACTAAAAGGACTAAAGGGACTAAAAGGACTATAGGGACTAAAGGAACTAAAAGGACTAAAGGGACTAAAAGGACTAAAGGGACTAAAAGGAC